CAGGCTGATATTGAAATGCTTATTAATTCTTTTCTTTTTTTCTGGCTTCATGCTGATGGGGGTTTTTTGTTTTTGCTTTTATTCTTCCTTTTTGAGCCCTTAATCCATTCTGAGCCATTTGAAAAGGTGAAACTCTTTGTAGGCAAACGAGGGGCTTGAAACTGCTCGTGGAACGGCTTTATACCAGTAATACTTGCATCACCGAAAGTGCTAAACCTGTCAGATTTCTGGGAGGCTGTTTTAACTTTGTCATTAGCAGATCATTTGGACGTGTCACTGTAATTGAAAAGAGCAGGTGTGTAATGGTGTTTTTTTGGTTTATCTGTGTAATGTTGATGAAGCATTTTGTGTAGTGACAGTCTGTCAGCCAAATATCTTGTCACAAGTCACAAGACTTAAATCCCTTTATCTCGGAGGCTTCAGGGCTCAGTTGGAAACTTCCACTTAGATGAAGACTTGGTGCTTTTGTCTGGAATATTTGGAGTGCATTTCTGGAATATTTTTCAAGATTGTATCAGTGTTTACTACAATTGGAGTACCTAGTGTATTGTAAAACTGGCTTCAGTGAAAACTCAAAGACTTTTATTTAGCTTATGTTGTTTAATGATATAATGAAAACTAATCCTTCTCCTCTATGTGTTTTGCCATGTTAAATCCCACTTATGTATAGACTTCTTTTTAACCAGCTTTTACCTTTTTAAAAATATTTGTCTTAGAATTGTTTTAGGACTTTCTTTGGTAAATCATTTTAAACTAGACTACTGTTTTCCTTGAGTTGTCTGCCAGTACTGTGTTGGACACATAGTATAATCTCCTTTTTAAAGCAGTCTTTAAGGAGCAGGGATTTGTTTTCCATCAAGGTGTTATGTAAAGCATGCTTAGAAATGAATTTAATCTTCTGGGGGCTTTCTTTGTGAGATCCATACAAAAAGTAAAATGATCCCGATGTATTTAACAAAATATATTTTCTTTTGTCTCAATTCTAGATGATATTTAGGGAAAAGTTAAAAAGGAGCAAGTAGTCTACATGTGCATTAAAAAAAAAAGCATTGAGCCAGTCTGATTGGAGCTTTCTCTTTTAATTAATCAATTAATTTCAGCAGTTTTAAGGGATCCCTTGTGGGTGTGTAAGGGAATTGTATGTGTGCAATGTATTTATTCATTATAGTCTGACTATAGGTGGTGTTTTTCATCTTAAGATATAAAAGTGCTTTACTAGGAAACATGCTCTCCCCTCTATGAGTTAAGAGAAGCATTTGCCTTTGGTGGGCAAGCTGAGACAGTATCAGAGACCAACATTTTTCAGAAGTGGCCACTGATTTGGGCGTCCACAACTTTTGGGGGTCCAGTTTGTGTTTGCTTGAGCCTGACTTTCGTAAGTGCTGTGCATGTGCAGCTGCCATGTATTTCAGCGGGACTCATGGGTGCTGGCAGCTCTGTATCTACGGCCCAGTATTTTTCAAATTGGGCATCCAAAAAACAAGAGATCTCTTTTGAAAAGTTTGGCGGTAGCATTTAAATAACTAGTCAATGCTTATGCATTTAGATCCAGAGCCAAAGAGTAAACTCTTGAATCCTAACTCTTAGTTCTTCCTTGTAACCACGAGACCACATCAGAATGGTTGGCATGAATAGACAGTTTTTGTTGGTAATTATTTACCTCTTATTTTTCATGTTTCCTGAGAATGAAAATGAGCAAGTAAATAATGTGTTCATTGCGTGCTGCTAAGCATATAGTTGTAATAGTTTCCTGAATCTTTTCTCTTTTGGAAACAAATTCAATTAAGAAATTGCAGTAGGCTCCTGTGGCTTTGTGTGGGATTCTGCATGGCAATTTTTTTATTGAGTTGGGACCTTACTTAAGAGAGAACTTTCAAAATACTATCAATAATACTCTTTACTGCTTCAAGTAATACACACGGTATGGAATGGTACTGAAACAATATTAAAGCTGTAGCAAAGGTCTTTGACTTGGCTTCATCACAAATATATAACCAAAGCCATTGCTCCTAACTTAAATTGAGTTTGCATTTAATGTATCTGATTAATTTCTTCAGTTATAACATGATAATTCACTTGCTGTCAGAGCTGTGTGAAACAGTGGCTACATTTCCATTTAATTTTCCCTTTCTCCAGGTACAAGATATATCTTTCAGCCATGACTGTCGTTGGGTAGTGGTCAGCACTCTTCGTGGCACTTCCCATGTTTTCCCAATCAATCCGTATGGCGGACAGCCTTGTGTTCGGACACACATGTCTCCCCGAGTGGTAAACCGCATGAGCCGCTTCCAAAAGAGCGCAGGGTTGGAGGAAATTGAGCAGGAGCTGACGTCTAAGCAAGGAGGTCGCTGTAGTCCTGTCCCAGGCCTGTCAAGCAGCCCATCTGGATCGCCTCTCCATGGTAAATTCCATTTTTCTTCTATATTGTCAGGACAGTCTATTCCCCTGAATCTCTGAGGCACAGATCCTGAGATCTGTTTAGGCACAAACCCCCTATTTACGTGCCGACGTCAACAGGAGTCAGATGCCTACATGTTTCTGAGAATCTCAGCCTAAGCGCCTTCTGGAGTCTCCCGTGCACAGTGGTTGTCAGTAGATTTGGGGGGGCAGAAATGAATTTGCTACAGATTTTGCTAAATTTGCATTCAGATAAATCTATATTTGCACATGATGC